CAGGAAATCCCTGATGTAAGAGCAATTTATATCCCCCTCCCCCCCATGTCTAATAAAGAAGAGGGTTGTATTCTGCTGTTACACTGATGTACATCTGCAGCAACTCCTGTGACTTCTGTGGCATTACTGTCAATTTATCCAACATGTCTGAGAGCAGTTTGGCCCAAAAAGCAGCTTGCTGTAAAAATCAATAAGAAGCCTTGCTCCTCAGATGGAGGCCTTTGCAGATACTGTAGCCTTGACAGGGGACAAATTGCTGCAGATGGAAAGTCTCTAAACTGGGGCTGAAGGCAGGGCTACCGTGTTACTTCCATAGATAATGGTCTCCCTTGGAAAAGCAATTACAGTGATTCCTTGTGCCACAGTGCCCTGGATCAGGATGGAAAGAAGCTGATGGTGCTGTCACAGGGGAAATCATAGTCAAGTGTGTTCCCAGCTACCATATTTGCCCAAGCATTACCTGGGGAAAAGACACAATCTCCAGGGCCTCCCAAATAGCACATGTGTAGTGTTTTATCTGGGGAATAAGGTCCAGAAGCAGTTCTGTTCCCTTGGGAGTTTATAACCCCACAGAAAGCTGGCTGAGATGCCTAAGGACTACAGCTCAGTGCTGATAATGAAGAGGAGGACATTCAAGTCTGTCAATCTATAGCTGTGAGAGCTGAGATTGCAATTTGCTGATGTACATTCTGCAAAGCTGTAGCTGTTTGCACTGGACAGAGTCATGCTTTCATATTCCAGAGCTCCCATCATACATGCCAAGCAGCTGAATGGGGCTCTGATTGGAGCCTGCAGAGTCAGAAAGATCAACACCACATATCTAAACAGTTTTGATTTGAATATGGAAACCTCCGGCAGACTCTGCTCGCTTAGTCTTTTATTCATATATGTATTCCACATGTGTAGCTCAAGGTGTCTGAGTATTTGCATGGTGGTAGTATAGTTAACCTGTGTTGTGAGCAGCAGCTACAGCCATACTCAGCTACATCTCAGTGTTGACACTGCAGACAGTATCTAGGACCTTTGGCTACAGAAACACCCACCACTTCCTGGTGAACCATAAAAAATATCTGTTTGCTGTACGAGTGATAGGCTTTCTATCCTCAGTAGGCCTTCAGGCTCTCAAGGGCAACATAAGCCACATACATGCCTGGGAGATCCAGTAGCAGATAATGAGGCACAGCTGGGATGTTTTCTGAGTACCATTGTTACTGTGGCACATGAGGGCCATTGCTCAGAAGATTCCTTAGCTGGAAGCCTAGAGATCTGAGCAAAGTAATCCTGTGTGCTTGGTACACAGCCTGCAACACAGGATTGGATCCTGTCCTGCTTGTGAAGCTAGTCTGCTTTTGTAAATTGCAGCCTGAGCATGTCAGTTCTTCTCTATGTTCCAGGCTGATCTAGTAATCTTTGACAGGGCAGATCAGTAAAAATCATTATCCCAAGACATGAATCAGTAAGCAGCATTGCCAGGCCACCTCCTTCACACAGCCATTACTCTGTTGTTACATGGGAGGCAGCACTAGTGCAACACCAGTGCCCATTCATCAGTGACAGATCTCAGTCTGTGAGAGACAGGTTATTCCTTCTAGCAAAGCTTAAGCATTACAGGATTCTGCAGGGTGGTTGAGGCAGGATGAAATTAATCTTCCGGGATATGCATAAAGCCATTCATTTTTGCCTTCTGCTCTGCCTCAAGTGCTCATTTGTCACCAAGATACTCAACACAGATAATGCTTTGAAACATATTAGGGGCTTGGTGTGTTTAGTATCAGTTTAGGTAGGTTCCTAGCACTTATACTCAAAAAGTCCAGCAAAAATCCTTCACTGGAATTCTAAGAAATGACCTAGCTGCAATGGAGCCCTCAGTGCTGAGCTAGACAGGACTTTTGATTTTTTTTTCCCCTCTGCTTGTTACTCCTTAGAAAGCTGTGGCAGGAAGCAAGTTGGGCAACCAGAGCAGCAGTGAGGGCTGTCTCCCAGCAACTTTTAAAAGCAATTGCTAGTCACCATGTAACCTAGACACAAAGAGCCCAATTCATCCCTAGTGTTACTCCAGTGTACTAGGTGCTGTTCTACCAGGAAGGACTGTGGGCCAAGACATTTAATACTTCATGAACTAATGAAAGGCCTCCCACCTTGTTGGTGGGACTGTGGGAACTTCCCGCTGTGATGCATCCAACTTGGAAGCTGTGGCACCTTACATGCTCTGTACTCAGCACAGCTCCATGTTTAAGGGCTCTGTGGCTGCTGAGACAGACAGCCATGTTGTGTTCTCTCCCTGCGACAGAGAGCACAGTGCCATACCATACTCCCTCACAGAGGCTACTTTTACCTTTTGTATTTGTGGTGAATTCTTCATCTAAGAAACCATCTACGTGCCACTGGTGGACAGAGAAATGGTGCACATGCCCAGGCCAACCCACATGTGAGGCTGAGGACTTGCTATAACAATAGGATGCACTGGCAAAGTAAGAAGTAGTTCATTCTCCTAGCCTCCTGGTGCAGGAAAATGCTAATCATTTTAAAGATTAAGATAGAACAATTTATGGAAGAGATTGTATAAAACAGTGTGTGTTGTAGCAGGGGGCTGAACTCAGTCCCCCAAGAGGTCACTGCCTGTCCTGCATTCCACAAACAGACAACAGAGCAAGCTCCTAAGACCCTATGGAGAAGGCATCCTAGACCCCAAGCACACCAGGAGATTTTTCTGGACAGCCAAGAGCTATGTGACACGGCAATTTGGAGACGATACAAGAACACCATGCAGGAACCCACAAACTGCCGTGAAGGCAACTGCTGTCAGCAACCAGCCTGAAATTGCTCCTGAGGGCAGTCAGTCTCCTGGATGACCCATGCTATCTTGGGCACTGTCACCTTACCTTAAGTCTTCTGAACACACACTATATTCTTAGTCTGTAGCAATTCAGTGGTTCATTAAACTGCTGTTTCTCTCGCTCAAGTGGTCAATGAAAAGGTATCATAAACCAGGAGAGCAGGGTGTTTTCCTGAATGACAAAACGAAACAGAACTTAGTTAAAGGCCATAATAAAGGCCAAACTCAGCAAACAGGGCTGAGTTTCTAAAGACTCTGGTATCAAGGACCTTTCCAGACCAAATTATAATAATGCTGTTGTACCTTTCACAGTGATCAACCATACCTTGCCGCACCACAAGGAAATAGTCTTTCCTAGCCTGTAGGGTGGGGTCAGAACTTGTGACATAGGCCCCTGCTATACATTACATATATTACTCAGTTAGCTGATTAATCACACAGTACATTTAGACTGGACACGTGCAAAGACCAGCCGCACATGCAAAGTAACTGTCACACAATTAATGAGTTAATTGTGCAATAAATTTAGACTAGTCATGCACGAAGTAATTATCACACTATAAAAATTACTAGTATCCAGCTATAAGAAGAGCCAACCAGCTACAAAGTTAGTGCCTGAAAATGTGTAACAACTCTACAGCTGGTTTCTATCCAGCTTACATTTGAACATGTAGCAGAACTCATAGACATGGGGTCCCATCAATAACTCCTACACAGTACAGAAACCCTACCCATACAGGGTCATCAATAACCCCTGTACATGGCCAGCAGCCCTACCTTAATGCCATTGCTGATCTCCATGACAACAACGGTGGTTTTTAACCTACTAACACCAAAGTGGTTAGCTACTAGGAGTGGCAGAAGGCAATGTCCACACACTGTACCATGCTGGAGGAAAGCTTATCAAGTATTCTATCCAGCAGGCTCTTGTGTAAGGGGCCTGTACTCACTGGGTGCATCTATACATCCAGGGGTATCCACTTGCAGCAGTACAAATAGCGGCAGCACAAATTTGTGCCACAGGTTTGTGCCTCAGTGCACATACCTGAACATGCACTTTGGTGCAGGGTAAATTGTGCCACTTTGGGCAAACTGACCTTGCCCAGCTCCTCCTGGATCTTCAGTCAGGGGGAGCTGGAGGCTGGGGTCAACCACTGTGCTGGCCCTAGCAGTATAAAAAGGTGCCCTAGAAAGCAACTCAGAGCTACTTGTCCTCAGAAGCTTCTCAGATCTGGGCAGTTGGTGTCTGGGGACACTAACCCACTGGACTGCTGCAGCACGCCTGACCTAGAGTGGCCCCTATACCCTGTACCCACTGCAGCAGTCTGGCACCTGCCTGGCTGTGACCTGCCACCTGCAAGAGCATCTGCCCCCTCAGACCTGTGGCCCCATGGCTGTGCACCTGCCAGACCTGGTTGGGGACCGCATAGCAGCCTAGGCTGTGGTGTGTGTGCTCCAGCAGAGCTGTCTGCACCTCTGGGCCAGCTGCCAGCAGGCTGTGACTGCACAGCAGCACCACTGCATCCAGGCAGCTCAGTCTGGGGTCAAAGTCATCCACCTGGAGGCAACGCCACAGTACATACCCCACATCAGCACTGCAGCATGTCCTGTGTAATGTACGTGAATCCTGGGGAGAGGTCTTCGAGCCCCAGTGAATGGAGAAGGCTCACCATATAGCACAGCACATCCAACAACAGCCAAAGCAGGGCTAGCCAGCCAGGAACAATATCGCAGGTGAAGACCACCTTTTCAGGTAGTGGCACATGGGACCCAAAGTGCATGCTACCATCACCGCCCACTTGCAGGCCCACCCCCTGAATAAGGAACCGGCCTTCTCACCACTGGCACCAGGCCACCTGCCCAGGGGCCTCCATCCCCACCCACTGCCAGGATCACAGCAACATAGGCAGTGTGGCTGTAGTGAAATCAAAAGCAACTGTATTCCCCCTCCCTCTCCCCAAAACTTTCCCAGCACCAACGTGCCCACAGTACCCTATACAAAACCTTCACTATGCTACCGCCATTCACCCGGCCCCCTCCGATGCACAGACCCAAGCAAAACCAGAAAGGCATGAAAACTATTTACATGTGTACCAGGAGGAAAACAGAGGGTCTGAGGGTTAGGGGAAACACCAGGGGAGGAGGCACAGGGAGGAGGGACTCAGGGGTTGCTGGCCCTTCACCCTGAGCCAGGCCTTGGGCCTGGGTCAGACCACCCCATGTGTGGGAGCCACGCCAATGTGGCTGGGGCCCCAGTTGCTCTGGGAGGAGGGCGGGTGCTCCTCCTTGGGCAGCTGTGGCAGGTAGGC